ACACTAATCAGTGTGGGCTGTAAAATGTACAGTCCCTTAAGGACGGTACAAGGGGAAAAATTCATCAGGTGTCACTAGTTGTATTCTGGACCTGTTGTTATTAGCCGTATTCTGAACCTGATGTTAACTTGGTGTTTTGTGCAGTTCGTTGAATCTGGATAGTCTTGCCATTGACTTTTTGAGTGTTGGGTACTATTTTTCAATGGCCACAATTGCTAAAAGTTTTAGGGTGAATAGTGTTAGCCCTAATTGCTAAAAGTTTTCATTAATTTGTGGATTGCAATTGGTCCGTTCAATTCTTTCTTTTTATTATTGTAGTTAGGGCTATCATGTGGGATAGTCATTTACCTTTTTCGATTTAGAGGTCAACGTGTGGGAAGTCCATTAGGGTTGAGGTTACTGTGTGGAGTAACCATTACTTGTTGCTAGAATTAGGATATTATTTGTTAATGCGTGCCTTGAATTCTTTGTGAGTTTGATATATTGCATTATGTGTGAGCTTGATAAATTGTACTTTAGACCTTTTTTTTTTTTTGTTAATTTTGTTGTCATATTTTTGTCATTAGGATTGCCCGTGACCTTAAAAAAGTATGATTGGGAATTCTATGTGATTTGTACCCCTACTTTGCTTGTGATTGTTGTTTGATTACATTTTGTGCTTTGTGCATTTTTGGTAAAATGATAACACATTTTGAATTGAGTATTTCTTATGGAAAATGTGGTTTTTTGATTTGACAACAAAAGATGAATGACATTCTTAATCAACAAAAAGTTTCTAAAGGATGCTACATATTCTACAACTTTAACTGAAGACACGTGATTAATGAGCTTATGTTTTTATTATTTTACATCTTTTTGATACTGTTTTGAGAAAATTTGATAAACATGATTCTACATAAAAAGATTTGAGAAGAATTGAAGGATCTTTATTTGTTAAAATCTAACCCAAATTTACTTTTTTCTACTTGAAAGTTTTTTCAATTTCAAAATCGACTATTCTAAAGATTTGGAAGAAATTTTAGCTGTCTTTAACAAATTGGTTCGACATATTACAAATAGTAGTGAAAAAGTGCCTACACAGAATAAAGTTATCATTTCGTTGAATGCTATCCTAATGCTTTTAAAATTGTTAAAAATGCTATTAAGTAGGAAGGGACACTTTAATACTTAAGATTTTCATGGACTTTTTAAGAGTACGGATATAGGGCTGAGAGCTAAAAAAACGAGGGAGAAGAAGTGGCGAGTTTCACATGATGAGAGGTAGATCTCAAGCTGGCATGGTGGAAATCGTGGTAATCAAGACATGTTGACTCGAGTGATGACTTGAGCAATGAGGGTAGTAAAAAGATGTTACAGCTACGATAAATTTGCAAACTTTATAAAATTTTGTCTTAAAAAGAATAATAAATGGAAAGAAATAATGAAAGGTGAGAAGAACGTTGCCACTGGATCTAGTTATGATCCGAGTGAGGTTATTGATGATAAAGTCTCTTAATGTTACTATCGTATTTGTATCTATGTGTGAAATTCAATTTACATGAACGATTGCTTTATTGTAGTGCATTGTTTATGTTATATCTAATTATGATTAGTGTGTAAAATTGAATGAATTTAAGAGTGATCATGTTACTTGATAAGTGTGTTTTTGCACACTTATTTAATACTTAAATATACTTATTATTGATAAAAATGAGCGAATTTCTACTCACAATTATGTAATTATTGCGTTTGTAGGTAAAAATCACCAAAATGATAGAGAAC